GACTATATGCTTTCTTCTTTATTTATATAAAGAAGAAAACATATAATTGTGAAGACAAAGTTCTAGTTAAAAAATTTCAAATTCAAAAATTTTACTATATTTTGTCATTGAACTTTGAACTGAAACTTGATTTAAAAGTTCAATACTAAACTAAACTGAACCTGAACCTCATTTAAAAATTCAATATTGAACATGATTGAACTGTATGGATCAAGTATCACCTGTCTAAAAAATTTTGCTGTATCACATGAAATGTAAATCATGTAGATCTGTATATAATCATTCATTTAAATTTTTTTTCACGTTTATTCTTTTTCTGTTATATTTAGTGGCTTTTTTTTTTATTTGCTTACCTTACATACATATAAATTTGTTATTACAATTAAACATCAAAACTATAATAAACTTGCTTCATTTAAACTTGCTTAAACTTTTTTTGACTTTTTTTTTTTTGTGCTGCTTAAACATTATAAATTTTATATGAAAGTCTTATGATAAATTTTTTTTTCTTAATACACTTTCATTTTGCATTTAAAACATCGTATAATGAATGATAACAAAGAAAATTTACTTAAGTGTGATCATTGTAGAGAATGGTACTCAAAAGAAAACTTTATTGGATTGAATAATAAAACCGTTCGATCATGTAATAAATGCCAAATAGCAATTAAAAATGCAAATAAGAATAGAGCAAAAATTATTAAAAATGAAAAAATAAAATGACTTCAAGACTCTGCTTATAAACAAGAACATCTTGTAAAAACTTTTGGAACCTTATAAAGATATCAAAAATATGGAACCTTGTAAGCAAAAATTCGATATTGAAATTGCAATTTTTCTTGATACTTTTCTTGATCATGTTGAAGCCACTGATGACAATGAAAGTAATAAATATATCGCATATCAAGTTATAGATTTTATCTCTAAAGCTGATGAATATACCTATGTTTACCATACTTGTAATAAGTTAAAAGATGGCATATCTTTTGTCTTTTACTGTAATTGTAAATTTGAAAGACAAAAAAAAAAGCTTGCATTGAAGATATTGATAAGCAACAAGAAACTGAACCTCGACTTCCACAATTTGAATATGAGGCTTCTATTCTTATTACAATTAAACAGTCTCATAAGTTAATTTATATTTATGTTCATCATTTACTGTACCCATGGCCCCGTTCTATTAATATTTCATCAGAAATTAAGCTTTATATTCAAAATTTCTTACTGTTCTCCAATTATATCGCAATATAAAGATTGCTTGTTTTGATGATTATCTTAATATTACAAAACATCAGGTTTATTATTGGTGTAAACGATCAGGACTTAATGAATACAAAATTGTTGAAGATCAAACTGAATCTACTATCCAATACCTTTCACAACAAACAGCATTTAAAACTATTATTCAAGAACCTACTGTTATCACTTTTACAACTCCTTTATTCAACTTTTTTCCAAAAAACAATATAACTACTATTGTAATCAACACAATATATAAAACAAACTGATTAAATTATGAATTGTATGCAATTCTTGAGATTATAGATAGAGCTGGGTTCCCATTAACTTACATGTTCTTAAAACCTGGGCAAGAGGAAAAACGAACAAAAATTCTTCAAAAATGGTTTTATATAATTAAGGAGCAAGGTATTAATAATATTAAAACTTTTTTAAGTAATAAGGATTTTGTGCAGATTACCTCTGCTCAAATAATTTGGCCTCAAGCACGAATTCAATTGTGTTATTGGCACATGTTTCGTGCAATAAAGAAGAAGCTTGCAAGTAATGGAATTACTTACCCTATATACAATACAAAAGAGACGCATATGACTTGTCCGATTGTAGATCCAACCTGGTAGCTAACATGTGAATCTGTATTAAAAAATAATAAAGTTTTTTGTCAAAAAGATTATCATGAACATATTATGCAATCAATTCGAATTCATTTTTCATTACATCTCTTAATTCCAACTGAACATCAATCTTATGCTAGATCTACTGGTGAAATTTAGCTCAAATGTGTTCAAGAATAATATAAATACTGCAAAATTAATAATTTGTTACACATTTGAATTTATTTGTAGAATGGATGGTATCATCCAGAATGGTAGAATTTATAGGCTCGTTCTGTGACAAGCCACATTAATGTTTTATGATCTACTATGACAGTTGAAAATCATTGGAGATTAATTAAATATGATTACCTTTCAGAATATAATCATGCATGCTTAGATTTACTAGCCTATATTATTGTAACACAAGTTATACCTAGACAAGTTGATCGATTACAGCAATTAAGAGATGGTCGAGCTGTAACACATTGGAGAACTGATTTAAAAGTGGAATGAAATCAACTTAAAAAAAAGGCAATTCATTTTAATCCTCAACAAGTTACTAATATACAAAAATGAACATGCTCCTGCTTGAGTTTCTTGTTTAGCCACTTTTTTATTTGTAAATATTTGATTAAGCAAGTAAATCCAGTTCCAATTGGATTTTTTAAAAGGGTATGTATATATATTAATATATATACTATATATATATAGTATATAGTAAATATATACTGATAATTCTTTTTTAGATTCATCGGCAAGAATACTACTCATTTTTACGAATCAATGAGCAATATGACAATTTATTTAAAGATCTACCAGAAAATCTTTTCTTAACAGTTTTAAATAAACTACTCACAGAATATATGTTGAATGAAAAGGCATTAGTCAATAATAATTTTGATGAACAATCTAGTGACTATGATACTTCTAATAAAGAAGCTTCAGATAATTAAAATATCTTTGATATTAAAGTTTCTTTTTAGTAAAAAAAAAACAATAAATTAATTGTTGTTATAATTTAGAATTACCTTGTCAAAACTATATTGGTACGATTTCGAATCATCAAGAACTTATAAATCACAAAAAAGAAGAACTTTATACATGTTAAATCAATTATTGAGGAGAATACTCAAAATCCAAATGCTAATAAATAGATTAATTTGATTGATAGGAATTTTAATTCTTTGCGTAAAATGGTAAACGATTGTAAGTAGTATAACAAACGTCAAAAGATTCAAAATACTTGGAAGAATCAAAATCACAATATATTTTGGATTTAAAGGGCAAAGAATCATAAATTGAATTTTATATATAAATTTTTTTAAAAAAATTCAATGTATTACACTTCTTATATAGTAATAAATTTATTTGTTACTGTTACTTAAAGGTATAATAAAATAAATTTGAATCTTATTTGAGCTTAAAATTTATTTTTTACTACGTACGTAAAAAAAAAACTTCTACATTAATGCGGTCAAATTTTAAGCTTGCAAATTTTAACTTTAAAATATATAAGTTGCTATAGCTTTTATTATTAATATTTTTAGAAACCAATTATTTCTACATAAAGTAGCTAGTAAATGGTTAACCTTTTTATCATTTTAATTAAAGGTTGTAGTAGGCAAATATATAATTCAGGATACAGAACCGGCCTTTAATTTACACTCTATAAAGTAAAATAAATTAATGTGCATGTGGAATTTCTATTATATTGTTTTTGCTGTAATATAGCAACACTTTCTAAAGAAATATTATATGTATTGGTAACAGTAATAGTAAATTTAATTAAATTTGTTAGTAATGATATTGTGCAAATTTAATTAGATGATCTTCGATTACATGATAGGGCAAAATTTTTTAGACTAGTGATTTACATACTAATATTGAACTGAACCTGAACCTAAACTTGACCAAAGTTCAGTTTCAGTTCAGGTTTATAGGAACACTAGTCATTTCTATTCAAAAGTATTTTAACAAGCTATGTAAATGCATTTTTTTATTTATATTTTCTTATTTTGTGCTTGAGCTAACATTTTTTTGAGCTTAGGATCTAGAATTGTGAATTGTGAGTTAACTAGTTGACAGGTAGAAAAAGATTACCATAAAGCATATATCCATTTTCAAAACTCTGCTTGTATGAGTGATGTTGATAGAACATGCACTGTTGGAAATTGTTATACAAAAGAAATCGGTATCAAGAACAAATATAAAGTATTTGAATATTTTTGAAAATCAGCAGAGATAGATAAAGCTATGAGAACATATACTGTTAAATTTTGTTATTAAGAAGGAATGGGTATGAAGAAGGTGAACAAAAAGTATTCTACCATTTTCAAAAATCCGCAGTGATGGGTAGTGTTGAGAGAATATATAATAATATTAGCCATTGTTATCAAAAAAAAATTGGAATAGAGTAGAATGGTAAAGCTAAGTTACAAGTCCATTTTTTTTTATTATTATTATTAGCACGTCTGCAATATTAAAAAAAAAATATATATATATATATATATATATATATATATATATTACTCTTTGACAGCCTTGCTGGAGCTCAAATACATTACTTTATTATACAAACTTGGACAGAATGAATAATGACAGTAAAAAAATTGTAAGCCCGACATTACCTGGCTGCAACTAGTGTGCCCAAATGTGACTTGTCACACCAACCTACATGTAAGTTAGAAGACCTTGTCAGCCTGCCAAGAGCTTATCTCTTCATTCTTACTTTCTTCACTGAGAGCAAAATAAAATAATGTTCCGTATTCTCAATACTAAAGCATACATCAAGAAGAAAAGAAGCTTACGTACAAAAAAGAAACAAAACAAGAAAGAGAAAGTAATAAGAAATAAAAATGGGGGAATGGAAATTGTAAAAAAAGAAAAAACAAAGAGATAAGCCCTGACAGGCTGAACAAGAAAAAGCTATCTCCTATAAGAAATAGCAGCTACCTCTATCAAGAAATAGCACAAAAATGAATACAAAAAAAAAGAAAAAAAAAGAGAGTACACTATTATAACCCATGCCAGGCAAGTATAAAAATTATATAAATATATATATATTTTAATTAAGGCTTTTAATCTTATTTCATATATAAATTTATTTTTTAAAAATATAGGAATTACAGGCTTATTAATAAAAATAAAAACTATTATGATTCTTCAATTTAATCTTGGTCTGAAGTGATCTAAAAATTATTTTAAAGATGAATATATGAATTAATTTAAAATTTTATATTTGTTTTATTTAAAAAATATGTAATTATCTCTTTCAAACTTTCACTATACAATACTATATGTTTTATCAGTTTATTAAATATATTACTATTATTTTTAGTGAATTATCGTCTTCATATATATTCTAATAAATAAGAATCGTATAGGTCTTTGGTTGTTTCATACCATGGGAGTGATGATTTTACCGCGTGCCAAGTTAACTTGATCGTGTTGATATGAACACCCATGTCAGAATCCCTAAAGTGCTCCAAATAATTGACTTTTTCATGTTTTCATCTATAATTTTAAAGTCATCAGTCTGGTAAGCCACCCAACAATAACTATAAATCATAGTTTTTTTCTTCACATATTCTTTTAAAATTTTTAATAATGTTTCTTTTGTGCAGTTAGGAACTGACACCAAAAACATTTTATCAGATTCTCTTTCAACCCCCCAAAGACCTATTGTTCCTCTACTTTTTTCCTTTATTTTATTTTCGCTTACCAAATTTACTCTCATCAATTTCGACAATTTTTTTCTCACTACCAATTTTTTTATCTTTTTGATTCATTAGTGCGACACAACATACATCATAGTAGAAGTTGTATCAATTCACTATCATTGTGGCACTAACGTTAGTTTCACACACAGAAAATATTTGAAGCAACTTATGGGACCAGCAAAACATAATTTTGGCGATTTGTTTAAGTGTTAATTTAGAATTTTCTAACTATGTTTTTGAACCTATAGTTTTAATTTTACTACAGGCAGTTTTCGAAGTGCAGACTCATTTTTGATTATCTTTATGAGAGGAGTCTTTCAATTTATGCATAGGGCTTTGACAGTTGGTACAGAAACGCACTCGGGAAAGAATATCTAGCTCTTTGAAAAATTTTATGGGTTGTACTGTGTCTTGTGTATTGAAATAGATATTGCTGTTAGAGTAGAGAACAGGTAGCCCATTGGGCCTATATGGGCTTTTTTTGAAAATTAATTTGGGCCATTTCGTCAAAACACTAGTCACATGATGATTTATTATATGACTAGAATTTTGGGGAATGGCCCAAATTAATTTCCAAAAAAAGCTTGTACAGGCCCAACGGGCTATCTGTTCCCCACCCTAATTGGCGTAGATTTTTACTAAACAGATGAAGATGCCATATTTTTAATTCTAAAAAAAGGATATATCTGATTTGGATAAATGGAAAAAAAGGCAGCTTTATGCAATATATTTTGATAAGTAAAAAGAGAAAAGGTGGCTCTACATGAGATATTTAATTTTTTAATGGGTAATTTATATTTTATAGCTTTATATTAATCTGAAGATTGTTCTTTTACAATGGAAAAATACATTATATTTATAAACTCAAAATCATTCAAAGAGTCAAAGGTCTTAAAAGACTTTTAATTACTTAAGAACTTTTAAAATAATGTTTTCTTGCATATATAAAATAAACAATAGTAAGTATTTATAATCGAAGAATAGTAAATAAGTATTAATTTGTAAACTGGTTTTGTTAATTTTTATTCTAATTACTAATAGATGATTTTTATATTCAGAGCCAAATAGAATATTTAATATGAATAAAATGGGTCAAAGAATAGTAAATAAGTATTTATGAACTTCAAATGACTAATAGATGATCTTTACATATAGAGTTAAATAAACATTGAAGTAAATAGAATAATTCAAAGAGCATTATAAAATGGTAATAAGTATTTATGATTTTGCTTTGTGAATTACTTTTTGTTGATTATAATTCAATGGCAAATGATAAAAATTATTTTTCAAATAATTTATTGGGAGTTATTGGCTAGCATAGCATACAATAACAGTTTTATCCAGTGGTTTACAACAATTGTGCTTCTAAATAACTTGAGTTTTAGTAGTGATTATATAAACTGCCAAATAATGAAGTTATTTGGCAAATGACATATTACTGCTAAATAATTCGAGTTATTTTGGCTGCACTATAATAGTAAGCTGCCAGATGATAATCTTTATGTATAGAGTTGAATGAAATGATCTGAAGTGAATTATGGAAATTATAAAATGTTATGAACATATACATGTCATAATTAAATGAATATAAATATAAGAAGAGTCAGGGAAAAATTTTCTGATATTTTCTGGAGGGAAATTATAAGTCAGAAGAAATTATATTATATGCATTTTATATACATATATATTAATGCACATTTATATGCATATTATTATAAAATGCATATTTTTCCTATCTCTAAAAATGATCGAAGTAAATGAAATAATTCAAAGAGCATTATATTATAGTAATAAGTATTTATAATTTTGCTTTGTGAATTACTTTTTGTTGATTATAACTTAATTCTAATAATGAGAATTATTTTTCAAATAATTTATTGGGAGTTATTTTTAGCATAGCGTACAATAACAGTTTTATTCAGTGGTTTATAACGATTGTGCTTCTAAATAACTCGAGTTTTGGTAGTGATTATATTAACTGCCAAATAATGAAGTTATTTGGCAGATGACATATCACTGTCAAATAATTCGAGTTATTTTGGCTATACTATAATAGTAAACTGCCGGATAATAATCTTTATGTATAGAGTTGAATGAAATAATCTGAAGTGAATTATGTAAATTATAGAATTTCATGAACTTATACACATCGTAATTAGAAATAGAAATGCAGAAGTTTTGAAAAATTCCTAAAAGAAAGTGAATAAACATAAATATGAGAAGGGTCAGAGAAA